ACAGTGCTGGAACGTCCAGCCAGCTAGCGGGGCAAAGTAGGTTAATGAAGGTAAATTCTGGTTTTGAAACTCTTGTTCTGGACAGATTTTGTTGAACGGAACTTTATGTTTGACATTTGCTGGTGTCGATTGAGCATTAAGGAGGAATCATGTAATGGATGAACAGATATCTACAATTGCTAGCACATAAAATGCTGAAAGCTCATAAAAAGCTACAGACTCATAAAAGGCTTCACGAGAGATGAACTAGGTAATTTAGTCATATATGTTATCCTCTGAAGACCTCGATACTTCTTAAAATGGTCACCAAGAGACCAGGACGCTTATGTCTATTGAATCTCCTGAACGAGATCTCACTCCCCTCTTCCAAGCCGTTAATGCAATTAAAGAAATATATAGATCATCAGAAAGTTTGGAATGAACAGCCAATAGACCACTTCAGTTGACAGTGCTGTACTACCCTTCCAACACTCTACTAGACCTACGCACAGAATTATATCACATCAGCCAGTCCATCAACTCCAAAACTCAATTGAATAAACTATTTTGATCTTCTTTCAAAGAAATAGTCCTCTTTGTTGTGTCCTGTGCGTCAATTGCACATGAACTACCACCTTTGCTGTTCTACAGCACACAAATTGAAACCCGTTATATCACCACCCTACTCCCAATTCCAACACGAGACTCATGTCAACAATACATTAACACCGTTATTTTGGTGAAATCTGAAATTTCAAAAATCTTCCTCCACTATTACCCCAGATTCTCCAACCTTATGCCCCTCATATGACTCATAATAACCACACAACCCAAACACAACCACAATCATAAAAATACCATAACCAAGAAGAAAAGCCAAAACTTCCCAAACCCATACACCCCAAAACCTCCTTATCCTTATCTTATCAACATCGCCAATTCTCACATGATACTACCACCCTTATCAGCTCGCCGCGTGTTCTTTGCATACTTCCATGCGCCACGCCTCACCAACCTAATCAACCTCTAAAAACGTGCCAATCTCTACAAGTAACGTCAGTCAATATCCATATCCTTCCTAAATAGTGGTTTGAATCCGAATCCGTCTATCCCAAACCATAAAAAAAAACCAACCAAAACCAAATAACATATGTAACAAAGAAGTAAACAGCAAATGGAGGCTACCCGCCTCTCTAAAGGAATTTCACAAAGTTCTTGTCGTCGAGCCAGCCAACCTTCTCAAACGCGGCGAAAAGCCGACTGGCCTTATTCACGTCGATCCGACACGCCTTCTGGGCGTCTGTTCTGCGGAATGGCATGTCCCCCCGCATTCTGTTCACCTTCTCAAAGAAAAGGCGTCTCTTGGAGTCGAGGTACACGTTGGCGGGCAATCTCAACGTCAGCGCCAAAACAACCTCGGCGGGGTGCAACTTGTCGGCCTGGGGATCATTCTTGAGATCCATGGGCTGGCCCTTCCACTCGATCTTGAGTGCACGGTTGTTGCCCTTGGGCAACGTCACCTCTGGATCAGGAGAGTAGTCGGGGATCGACTCGTCAATGAGAGCAGCCTGCTGGGCAGCCAAGGGCGAGCTGGCGTAAGACGTCTCCTTCTTCACCTTTCTTCTCTTGGGCGAAGGAGAAGGAGGACGCGAAGCGTCCATGTCAATTTCTGAAAGAGCCGCCAGGTGCTCACGCACCACTCTACGTGTTCTGACCTTCTCCTTGTCGTTTTCCGACTCAGACTCCGAGCTGCTTCTCTTGGGCTCGGGTCTCTTTCTCTTGTTGGAGACGGCTGCAGCGGCTCTCTTTTCGGCCAAACGCAACAGCTGGACATTCTGCTGCTCCTTGGAAACAGCCTGGTATTGGCGCAAAAAGTTCATCTGTCTCGCCTTGTAATTACCGCCAAGCTGCGTCCAGGGGCTCACGGTGAGCGTGTAGCTCTTGTAGTTTTCTAAAGTGAAGGGCCTTTCATTATCCATGTACACCTTCAGGGCTCTAGGCACGCATCCCAGGGTAGATGTGGCTGGGGCAGGGGAAACTGTGTAAGTGTTTTCGTGCTTTTGGTAAGGAGAGGCTGGAGGTGAAAGGATTTCGTGATTTCTGGAGGACCCGAGGGTGGCCTTGTCGTTTTTGAACTTCATGGTTTCGTCCTGATTGCTGGGAGTAAGACATCCATCTCTTTGCCCAAAGGTTCTCGAGATGGGCTGGTATAAAAGGGTCATGCTTGGATGAGTGTGATTATGTAGTGTGAGCTTTTAGTGATGAGATGGTCTGGAGTCAGTTGGTCCTAAAAAGTGGTATATGCGGAAGGCCTTTTTTTGTGGGGATTCCGTGTTTATATATGGAATATGTACAGAAAATAAAAGCACAGGTATTTCTGTTTCTTTTCTATGGTGTTTTTTCTTTTTCTTTTTTTTTTTTTTCTTCTATATATGGTCTGAATTTCTTTTTCTTTCCTGCTGCGTTCGCCAAACGTGCAGCATGCGTCATCGGAGGTCCAGAGCTGATTTTCGAAATCGGCGATAAGACGCCGCACGGGGTCAATGTGGTCAATATCAAGTCCATTAGTAATGACCCGTTTGGCTAATGTAAAAATTACCCTTCAATGGCGAGATACCATCGAGTTAAGAGAGAAAACGAGAGATGTGACCGTTATACAGCGCATGATCGCTGCACGCCCCAGACCGTATGTGCAGTATGCGCGTCCGCCGCCTGCAGAGCAGAATTCTTTTGTGGAGCCCATCTCGAACAGGAATTTCCAGGTGATGCAGCGGCGACGTGGATTTAACCGGTAAAAATGGAAATCCAGATTGGGCGGGCAATTGCGGGCAATTGAGCTGTCACAAAACCAATTGAGGGTCAATGTCGCAAAGACGACATACTCGGTTGAAGCGAAAGCCCATCGATAAGCCGTGGCAGGTGCAGGACACCAGAAAAAAAAAACAAAAAAAAAAAACCGAGTGATAAGCATCCATCGTCCTGTACGATCCTGTGTGTGACTGCCGCGGCTCTGCACGAGCGCATCATGTGCTGCACACGCCCACATTTCTTTTGCACTTTGGATGCACCCTCCTCATTTTTCTGTTTCGATTGTGTTTCCAGAACCACACATTGAGTGACGGATTGCATTTGCAACCGAATCTTGCGTGCTAGTCTGTTTCATCTGTATTTGAGGGGTCGGCCGAAAAGCATGAGGGGATCACCCGAAACTGCTTGACCTTCCCGTTTCTTGCAATCTCATACGCACCTTCTTTTGTATATGCCTGCTTATCGAATGTCGCACATATAGATGTGCAGCTGACACATGCGCTCGTCCCCCGAGAGCCGGCCTGGACACCGAGGGCGGGCCTTCCAGCGTGAGGTCGTAAACACCCTCGGTTTTATGAGGTTGATCAGAGTCAAAAAACGGGCTCAATTGGAAACCTGGGGTTTGTGGGTCACCAAAAAAGGTGGAAACAGCGGGTTCCCACAGAAATGTGACGTACTGCACACAAGCACATTTTTTGGTCTCTTCTTTTTTTTCCCTGCTTATTCCATTTCCCTGTGAGTGGTTCAATCGCGACTGATAAATCCAGACGGTTTCTATTTGCTGCTAGGCCTCTAAACACGGTAATGTGTGACTCAGACCCGTGATTGGCGATTTTTGCCAATTAGGAAAAAACGTGCATTTTAGGATTTTGAAGTTGACCCTCAAAATCACCCCCCCATCAATTGCACTAATCAATTGCACCAAACAGAAAAATAGCATTTTTGTAGAATCACCTGCTTTCGTCAATTTCCCCTAATTCCACTCAATTCCTCTTCTCCCCGTTCGTACGAATCGTCGGAGATCGGACTTGAGCAACCGCAGATTCCGCTGTGCCGTGTGTTTCTTTTGTCTTTGTCTGTTTAAATCGAAACAATCGAGAGCAATGTAGTGGTTGACAGGCAGGTCACGGCAACGGTCGGACGCTGCGATGACCGATGTTTATGAAGTGATTTTTTTTGGATTGTTTGGATTTGTTTGTTTGGTTTCGGAGGTGGATGACGGTGGTTGCAAATGTGGAAATATGGGGGAGTTTTTGGCAATTGAGTGGTGGGTTTTGGAATTGTGTTTTGGTAGAGGGTTGGGGAATTTTTTTGTGGTTTTTTGGGCTGTAGGTAGATCAATTGAGTGGTTAGGTGGGATGGAAGCAATGTCGTTGGGTTGGTCTGGTTGTGGGTTCTTTTATTGTGAGATGAATGGGCATTATTGTATATCGTTGTAGATCAATAGGCAAGTCGGCGACAATCCTCTATTTGAGTGGGAATCTGATTGCTTTCGATTTGAAAGGTGGATTAATGGAGGGTGAAGAGAGGTTTTAATGGGTTGAGCTTAATTGATGAGGTATTGGAGATCGATTGATCTAATGAGTCTTCAGTGGTACTCTCGCCCTAGGCTGAGATGAGCGGCAGGAATCAGAAGGTCAAGCTATTTAGTAAAGAGAAGATCTGATAGTGTTAACGGAACAAGCATGAAAAAGAATGAAAACTTTGAAATGGAGTCCGTTCCATACTTTCTGCTGGATTGATACTGATAGTCTATATATCACAACAAGCCTGGGATTGTGACAGCTCAATGACAAGCACAATACTCAATTCTCGCAGAATAGAAGAAATCATCTATCATGCAAAAATCTAATTCAAAGTACGCTTCAGCATATCGAGGATGGCTCATCATGTTTCTGAAAATGAGGCATCAGAACATCCCACAACCCCAAAAGCCACAGTACACACAATCCAACCAGCTTCGACCTTTCCAATTACCACAAGAAAGCAATTATCAGATTTTAACAAACCTGCAACTTCCTGAAATTCAGGACCCAAGAATCCAGCCTCCAACCACCCTGCATACAAGCACATAATCACCTGACCCACACCACCCGACCCACATCACATGACCAGACACCCTCATCACTACTCCATCACCAAATCTCTGGACCATGTTTGGGAAACCCAGATTCCCTTTCAAACCTGCATATTTCCGCTCCTACCCTACCAAAATGGTCGACTTTGCAGGCAAGTTGTGTTTGGCGCCCATGGTGCGCAGCGGAGAGCTCCCGACCCGGCTTATGGCCTTGAAACACGGAGCCGATCTCGTCTGGCTGCCTGAGATCATCGACAAAAAGCTCCGAAACTGCATCAGAGTGGAAAATAACGAACTCGGCACGATCGACTACGTGGAAACCCGAAACAACGAAATTCCCAAGCCGAAACCAGGAAAACAGGTTCCTGTAGTGTTCAGAACAGATCGAGCCAAAGAAGAGGGAAAATTGATTCTACAAATCGGGTCTGCGGATCCGGAAATTGCCGTCCAAGCAGCTCAGAAGGTCATTGGTGACGTGGACGGCGTGGATCTCAATTGCGGTTGTCCAAAACCGTTTTCCACCCATGCTGGTATGGGTGCAGCTTTATTAAGCACACCAGAGCTTTTGACGCTGATTTTGCTGAATCTCGTGGAGAAAGTGGGCAAGCCAAATAACAAGCCAATCAGCGCCAAGATCAGGCTTTTGGACGAGAAGGATCCGCACCCTACGCTAGACTTGGTGGAGAAAATCTGCAACACGGGAATCGCCAATTTGACCGTTCACTGTCGGACCAGGAACATGCGGAACCGGGATCTTCCGATTCGGGACTCTGTGGGCAAGGTGTACGATGTTGTGGCGAAACACGGCGTGACTTTGGTGATAAACGGCGGGTTCCAGTGCAGAAAGGAGATTGAGAATTTCCAGAAAAGCATAGGTAACGCCAAGGTTGGTGGCATGATTGCCGAGGCGGCCGAGCTGAACCCTACGGTTTTTGAAGCGGTTCCTTCACCGTGGAAAAAGGTCACCACGGAGTTCCTCCAAACGTGCATCGCCTACAACAACTTCAACAGCAACTCCAAGTACATTCTTTTGAACCAGATTCCGGGGAAGCTGCCGGTCTACAAGGAGATATGCAAGGTGAAGACGAACGAGGAGTTTCTTAAAGTGATAGAGGGCGTTCAGGACGAAGGCGATTTGGTGTTTGTGAGAACGATGCAGAAGGCTGTCGCCATGGACAGCGAAAGCTTTATGGCGCAGTTTGACGCCAAAAGAAAAGTTACCCCCGAGCCGGAGATCGTGGAGAAGAGGGCCAGGATCGAGGCTGTCGCAGGGTAAGGGTATTTATAGACAATAGGTAATGGGCTATGGGTTGTTGTAGGATGGTGAGCTTGCATTGGAAGAAAGTAGCCAGGTGAATTGGAGGTGCTTAAGGCGAGATTCTTTTGAATTTATCAGAAATCTCTAGTGTATGTTTCTTTGTGGTATCCAACAAACTAGTTGGATTTGTGGAACAATATAGATCAACACCCTCATCTGATGATTTTAGATTTATTTACCATCTGAATCACTAATCGAATGTTTCTTTTAATTTAGTGGAACGTTTACGATTTCATGTCAACTAATCAGATCAACGAATTTATGTTTCAATTACCTGCCACCATAATGTACTTTTAAAAGCTACATTCGAAGACACAAGCTAATCCGATTTAAGGCGAACAAATCCAAAGTAGTACAATTTCAGGTCTGAGCTAAAATTGACCTAAAATCAGTCTCGAGAGTCACTGGTCCATTTCTTCACATATTGTACGATGAGATATACGCTTGATAGCGCTTTCGACCTACTTTCAAAACCCAACTTCAAATGTGAGTTTCAAATCCACGGCATCGAAATCCCAGTATTTGGGCCACTTAATAAACTCCTGAGATCTTCCAGATCCACTACTGTAGCACACATTCACCACCTCTACCACTAACGCTACCACAGCCTACACAGTCTCATCGTAAAGTTAACATTCGCCTGTCGGCTGACGGCTCACCGACGACTCGCCCAGTATTTCACTTGACGACTCGCCTAGCGGCTCGCCTGACGACTCACCTAACGGCTCGTCCTCGGTCTCAGAAGAGCAAAACTCACGTTTCCCTCCCTCAACCATCTATGTACATATCTCACTGCAAAGATCTCCTCACAGCACACCACGCGCCCGCAGCAGCAGTCATCAAACCCGCCAGGTACATGGCCGGCTTCAAACCGGCAGCCAGACGGAACACAGCACCGGAAATGGCACCGGCAGCCAACGAGTTGAGGTCGTCGTGCTTGCCCCTCCAGTTGTCGATGATGGCGTCCACAAGGTTGTAGCCCATGGCGAGGCAGCCCGCCGTGTTGCCCAAAAAGGGGCCTCTTTTGGTGATGTGGTTCAAAACGGTGTTGAGCTTCAATCTGGGAGGCGACTCTGGGGGCATCTTGGAAAGACCCTCCTGGAGCCCGTAGGCGCCTCCGATACCGAGAGCCAAAAGGTACACCGTGCCTGTGCCGTAACAGAGATCGTCTTTCCAGTCTCTCAGAGCAATCACACCCTGAGCTCCTTCCAAGTCGCTGATCTTGTCGTCCTCAAGATCCAAGTACTCTACACCCCTGTCCAAGCCGGCTTGGGGGTGGAGCCTGGCTGCGTCTGCATACGCCGCCAGCAGCACAAAGCTGTTTGCGCGGTCGAGGTTGTTGTCACTTCCTAGGAGCCACGACATGAAGAAAAGGTGTAGTTGAAGGTGAGAATAATTTTTCGCGAAGACGTCGAGGTTGGATTGGGGGAGGTGGGGTTTAGGGAGGGTTTTGGGGGATGGGATTTGGGGGAGTGGGGTATTTGGGGGCGAGGATTTTGGATCCGGGGTTGAATTCGGGGGATTTTGGGTTTTTGGTGGTTTTGACGGGGGTGGTTGGGCTGGTACTGCACATGGTGTCGATGGTTGCAAGAGCCGGTCGGAGGTGGAGGAGGTATGGACGGGGAGGGCAAGTTTTGAGAGCTGAGTGGTTGGGGATGTGTGGTTTGGGAGGCTAGGTTGGGCCCGGTGGAGGTTGGTTTGGAGGGAAGGAGGATTTGATGGGGTTTCGTCGATTTGATGGTACTGCATATAAGTCATCAACGGCTGCAAACTCGTATGGCCTCCGGCCGATCCAGGGATTCGTGAGTTTGGGATTTTTTTCTTATTTATTTAATTTCTTTATTTTAGAAGCTCAGGGTTTGCTGTGTTTGTGAGAATTTTATGCTTTCAGTTACAATGAATGTCGAGTCGTTTGGCATATCGTAATTACCACCCTCGGATCTGCCAGACAGTTGCATCTATGAAGTCTTTGAAAGAATAGACATTAAGATACTTTTTTTGATAGTGCAGATTCTACGCTGCAAGTCTACAGATTTTGAAAAACGCTATTCTTGTGATTCCGAAGAAGTCAGCGCTGATGTGACTCCACCAGGTAGCAGTCAAGTCCGAGTTTGAGCGATTGAAGTTCTCATAGTCAAGGAAACGAATTTTCTTTAATTCAAAACAGGGTTTCACAATATGACGATGGGGTTTTGAAGTGGACAAGACGACCGAATCTCGGCCTAACGGTTTATGCACGGGGATTGAGAGGGCTAGGTATAAGATGGTTATGAAAGCTGGGTCAGGGAATTATTTGTTAGAAAAGCTAGGTGGTCGACAGTGGAGATCTTTTCAGTCTCCAGTGAACATGTTGAAGCGATCAAAAGATTGTTGATAGACGGTGGGGTATATGGATATGGTAGATGGATGGTGGATGGTCATGGTAGATGAATATGATAGATAGCACCATAGATAGTATGATAGACAGTATGATAGACGGATACGACAGATGAATGTTATAGAAGGACGGGGTAGATGGAAATGATAGAAGAATGGGCTAGATGAATCTCTGGCCTTTCATTGCAATAATTTCATCATCTTTTGATTCCATTAAACGAAGATCCTGATATCAAAACCATCAGACCATGAAAGTGAAGACACCCACTTCAGAAAGACATGTCGCTCAACTCATATCACTAACTGATTCAAGAGCTGTCACATTATTCCAGCCCAACGACTTTTCATCAAAATGTGGCTTCTTTACCCACCCACGCTTCCAACCATAATTCATAATCTGTAGCCTCTGCTGTAAACAGTACTAAATCCATAAAAACACGGCTGCCGTCGGGGGTAAATCCAGACTAGTTAACAGAATTCCACCGTAAGCAGAGCTTGCTCCAGGAGCACAAAGCCGTGTTCTATAATACGAAAACCACAGGATCGAAACCAAAAAAAAAAAAAAAAAAAAGAGTATTTATTGCAGCTTTTCTTATCTAGTCCCCAATCAAAGAAACCCTATTATCTCTAGACATCCCCCGCGTCGAAACACGATACCAAAGCCATGGCAACTTTTGACGATAGGAACCAGATCTGTAGCTGCATGGCTGCAAACTGCAAAAGCGCCTATGCTGTACCGAAATGTTCATATGAATTTTGACAAAAGATAGGCGCTTAGGTATTCCGAAAAGAGTTTATCAAAGGAGGGGACGACTATTCAGTTTAGCCGATTCAAAGGCCGATCTGACAGTATTGTTTGTGATGTGGATTGTGGCATACAACCGCTAAATGTGGAGAATTTCTATAATAAGAGATTCTGTGCTCCAAACCGTGGATCCGTAACCCAACGCCATACCACATGTGTACTGGTTTTTTGCATCCTTCTCTGTGGCTTATGGAGGGGTGGAGACATTATCGGGGGTTCATAGAGGATACCCGTTTGTGTAGGAGTTGTGGGTACAGCATGTGGAGATATGTTAAGGAGACGATGGAGACGTCTTTTGGGTACTGATCGATTTTTTGTATAAAGTGTTAAAGCTACATGTTAAAGCTCCATAAGGATAAAATTGTCAAACTGTCAATGTGTGGTGGTATTTGTGGATTCTGAAAATCGGCCGTTTTCCGTAATGTGTGGATCAGTGGCTTTGGTATAGCAGATGGGCGGAGTGTGAGTCCGCCTATACGTCATGTGGTTACATGGGGACACTTTCGGGATTTGGGAAAGTACCCCGAAATCTGGAGTATGGATCTGGATTAGGCAGGGTGGAACTCCTCAGTATAGGTTGCAAAAGTGGACATAGCCAAAGATATGAAAATTGGGTTGGGGGAGGTATCATGGACTATTAGTTGTTGAAGTGTGGATTCTTAGTAGCTTATCATCGCCACAGATGGTTTAGCTAAACCTCAAATTCCACCATGAACTAATAATCATGTACAATGGATCCATTGTATCTCCTCAACTTTTACCACAAACTAATAATCATGTACTATAGATCCATTTACCTCTTAGTCTACCCATCTCTTTCCCCATCTTCATCAAACCTCATCTCTCCACATTCACATAATCCGATGACTCTTCGGTCTACATCCATCTCTCTCTCTAGTGTATTAAATATTAAATCAAACCAGACCCTTCGACGAGTCGTAGCCGTGCTCCACGTGCTCAAAGTTGTTCTTGAGCTTCTCGACGTCGGATCTCTCGATGTCGGAGTTCTTGCCGTCGTTCTCGTGGAGATATGGCAAGGTAGCAGCGATCTGCACCGACTTCCATGGCTTCCAGGCCGGGGTTTCGGCGAAAATGAGGTCCACCTCCTCCAAAGACCGGCCCTTGGTTTCGGGGTACAAGAAGTAGAACACGGGAATCATGAGGAAGTTGATTCCGAAAAAGATGAGGTACGTGTGGTGGTCGATGGCGTTGAAGCAGATCGGCGTGATCATGACAACCATGAAATTGAAACCCCAGTTGCACGCTGTGGAAATGGCAGTAGTAGGAGCTCTGACTTCAAGGGAAGACACCTCTGGAGGGTATAACCAGGTGAGGGACAAAAGCGACATTCCAAAGAAGGTGTTGAAGGCAAAAAGCAAAAAGGCTGCACCGATGGAAGCGCCCGATTTGCCCTGTTTGGCCATTTCCATGGAAACGTAGAGGAAAAGCATGCTCAAGCACTGGCCTGTGGTGCCGAAAAGGAAGAGTTTTCTTCTTCCGACTTTTTCAATCACAAAGATGGGGATCAAGGAAGCCAAAAAGTACTCTGTACCGTTGCAGGCGGCTAAAATACGGGACTCCAAGGGATCCATGCCAATGTAACTTTCAAAAATGGTTCCAGCGTAGTAGGTGATCAAGTTGATACCACAGATCTGCTGCATAACCTGCGACCAAGCAGCCAAATTGACTCTCTGGAAGTTCTTTCTCTCGCCTTGTTTAATGAGGTTTTTAAGCGAAAACTTGTTACCTCCAGCTTTCTCCTCAGCGTGCAAGGAAA